CTACACCAACATCATGATATAATTCGGATAGTTGCATGGCAGGTATTAATTAATAACCAACCACCAGATGTCCTTCGAGCAGCGATATTCTATAAACAGTAAAAAGAGCTGATTTTTTCTTAAATTGTCTAGTTTAAATTACTGTTGCTGATAATTAATATAAATTGTGAATTTTCCTTAGTATCTTTATAACCATGAATACAACAGGATGAATGAATATAATGAGCTAAAAAGAGCGGGCGTGGAACTGCTGAACGGTGATGATCTCTCACAAGTTATGGTCTGGTTTGGTGGTAATCTGTATGATAGAAGGAAAGAAAAGATCAAAAGAAAATTATTGGCCTTGTACCGACTCACGCCTGATGATATCAAGAACATACAAGTTTATGACTATAAGGATGAAGTGGTTGTCCTACTATTTATTCCAAAAACGCTAAGGAATCGGCTGAACACTAGAGATGGAAACGTTATCCGTCTGGAAGGAAAATGCTTTCAACTTTATGATCTTCCGGAACCAGAAATGATGAAACGATGGATTGCTTTGGATGACGACGAAAATGTTCAGGAAAAAAGAAGGGAACTGATAAAACAGCGAGGGTTAAAAGGCCTGATAATGGTCAAGATACCAGTAATTGAAAACAATGGGAATGAAATTAATGAAAGTGGGAAGTTGATGATTGATCACCAGATGTCGACTCTAACTGTGAAAGTCAACTCCCCTTAGCAACAAGCACTATCATAAATCACGTTCTTCTAACTCAATAATTGCTTTAGTGATCATTATCTTCTTCCTGTTTCTTACTAATTAGTTAATTAATCTTTTCCTCCTTTCCAATTACAATTGTGCTCCAGAAATGACAATTGGCTATCCAATAATCGCCAGAAGCAACAGTGGCTTCAATCGTGGTCCTCCGAATACCCTACATTTTATGACAAAGAACATGAATCCGGCACTTGCACTGCTGGACATTAAATTGACCTTTGATGATACTGACCAAGTGGACACGATCAGCCGACTGTTGACTGACAATCCTGTGGTTAATGAATGGATCCAATCGGGTATTACAATAAATGATGAACCTCGGGAAATGCTTTTCAGTATATTGAAAGACCAACGTGAAGAATTGGAACTTGCGATTCATCGGCAAGAAGATTGTGGGACTGTTAGTGTTAAGAGTATGACCAAGGTTCCACTTTTCAACCTGGCCTACAAAGGGACACACAGATTGAGTTCTGAAATCATTGTCAACGATCTGATAGATAATTTTGGATTCTATGAAATATCGGCGCGATTAGAGCAACCAATTGGCGGTTACCACATGGTTTCACTGAAAACGAATCAAAGGGAATTAATGGCTGACAACAACTGGATGTTGACCTTGGAAAACGATGCGACAGCTTTTGTGGTTGATGATATTGGGTATAGACAATGCTTATCCTGTCATCTAATTTGGCCGAAAAGTGAAATGATTAACCATGATTGCACCTTGGCTTACCTTTGTTCCGTCTGCAACAGACCATACCATGGAATCTCTTACTATTGTAATGCTCGTCCTGAGTGCCGAACATGCTTGTTTAGAGGCAGACCCTACAACCATCCGAGCAATCACCCAACCTGCGTCTCGTTAAATGAAATCTGCGATGATTACGTCAATGGCCAGATCAACACTTACAATTATTTGTGCCTCATGACCTCAACCGTCGATCCTCAAAACTAAGCCGAAAGATGGAGCAACAAATTGGAAACCATCAGCTGCTGCAACAAACCAATGGACTAACCAGCATTCATACCAACAAATACCTTCCCACTAATAAACTTAAATCAAGTCCAAATTAATACTAATTTCTCACTACTAACCTCATGTCAAGCAATTGTAACCCTTCTCCTTCTCCTACACTCCTCTATTTCAACCGTACAATTCTAAAATTCAATGCAAACAAGATAATGATTCAACTAAAATAATTATATGTTGTTACAAAAAGACCAATAAACGTGATGAAAATAGAATTAATGCAACTTAACATCAATCGTCGGGTGAAAACATTAATAAAGTGTCAACAGTGGGTGAATGGTGGCTGGGGTAGAATCGCGATACTAAGTGAAACGACCAATACAATGGTAAACATCAATGTCTCCAAGCGAAAAGCAATGACAATTAAGGCCGCGATTCTTGTTAGTGAAGATATTAATGTGATTCGAACCTACAGCTTCAGTGATTCGGTACTAATGGTCATGTTGGAGATCAACAAACAGTACATATGGATTGTTTCGGCTTACAATAAGCCTGAAAAGAATGAAACTCTGGAAATATTGCGAGAACTCGTAGCAGCAACAACCGATCAACCTATGATAATTGGAGGAGATCTAAACGTTGAATCGGCAATTTGGAGCCCGAAGGTGAGAAACCATCGTTATACTGTTGAAGGGTCGAGGAAAGCATTGGAAAACGAGCTGATAAAATACAATTTTCGGTCGGTCTTGACAATTAATGGCAATCATTTCACCAGGAGGAACAGAAATGGGAATCACTCGGCCATTGACTGTATTCTAGCCAACTTCCCGTTTATCGTAACAAGTCAACAAGTTATTGAAAGTAATGAACTCTCAGATCATTGTGCACTCATCGTAAAATTGTTGACAAAAATAAGATCCACTAGATTGAAATTGAGACCTTGGTGTAATTTCACGGAATTGGATGCTGTAGATAATGGGATAAAACAGATTCTAATGGCTCCACTAATGTCAAGGAAAACGACAATACCAATGGAGAACAACGAAGGGAATCGGACAACGAAGGGAGACGGATGACAAAACGTCTAAGACAAGAAAACAATTTTACAATAACAAGAGATCTAGACTATCGACTACAAGTATATAAGGCAGCAAAAAACCATCTAAAATTGACAATGAAGACAAAAAAATTCTGGTGGAAATACAAATCATTAAAACTTCAACATATCAAGGTTAATGAACTAAAAGAGAGATTAGAGAGACACTTCATTTATGAATTTGAGCAGATACACTCGACTGAAACAAGGAATCACTTTGCGTATGGTTTAATGCAAGAGGAAGTAGAATGGTGTCGAAGATTCAACTCAAAGACGTCGTCGGGAAACGCTGATGATTAAACTGTAAACGAATGGCGAAGATTCAAGCGACTGAATATTGGGTTGGTAACTGGTGCCCTTGATGCGATCCTTAGGAATGGTCTTATACCTGTAGCGTTGAAGATTAGTGGTGGGACCAGAATTCCCAAACCGGATGGAAGTTATCGAATCGTTCGTACACAATCTCATTTAATGAAGATGGTCGATCGAATACTTCTAATGAGAATAAAGGATTCGATAACCGAGATAATTGAGGAGGAGAATCAGTTTGCCTATTTATCTGGAAGAAACAGAGAGCAACTTTGGATAAAGATTTTAAAAGGTCTGCATGAGGGTAAGACTCTGTTTGCCATGGATGTGGCGAAAGCATTTGATAAAGTATCCAGAGAAAAGATAATCGAGAAACTAAAGACAACGACGATTGATAAACAAGATCTATCGTTGGTGAGAAGTTTTCTGACAAATCGAAGTACCCGACTAAAAACCGAAAAAGGCTACGAGCTAATACCAGATGATGAGGGTACACCACAGGGGACGTCTCTAGGGCCGACACTTTTCAATGTAGCGATGAGTATTGTGGTTAAAGAAATGAAAAAAATTCAAGGTCTGGAGATTCTCACGTATGCGGATGATATTTTCATTCTGGTGGATGAAAAAACGGTTTTTTATGAGAAACTGAAATGGTCATTAAAACTTGTCAATCTAGAGCTCAATGATCTAAAAACATGGAAATGGAACTTGGAAAGGATGGGGAAAAGTGTGAATAGTACGAAGAGAACGATACTTGGCTTTGATGCGAGACCACCGACCTACATTGAACAGTTCAAGTTACCCACGAAAACGGTATTGTCACCGCGAGAGAGGGTTAGAATGTCAGTGATGGATATTGAAGTGATAAATCGTGTACTTAAAGCGAAGTTAATAAACATCTTTGAACCATGGACACCATTATATTGGCTTAAGAGGCAAAATTATGAAGCTTCATTTAAAAGAATATTATTACTTGGTCGGAAGCGAATCGCGAATGAAATACTCGCAGGTTATGTGTCGGATTGGTGGAGTTATGTGCTTGGTCTTGAGAATCCGGCCCACACCTTCATCTGGAAAAGTCTAAGTATGGTGGATGAAAGTAATGATGATGATTATCCTATGATAAAGGGACTAAGAGGCCTTCTAAACAATATTAACGATCGGAAAATCATTGTGAACGAAATGCATATTGAGCTAAACTCGATCAAAAGAATGAACATTGATGTCAAGAACGAAGGAATATTATGTCAACGAGATGCCCAAACACACAAGCACTTTCGATTAACTGACGACTTACGAAATGTGAGAATACTTTTTCAATCTTGGCTGAATAACATTGAGATAACGGAAAGAATGGTCATAAGAATAGATCCTTCATTCAAATCATATATGAAAAATATTCACGTAGACCGTGAAAGAAATGATCTTGTGATGATTCAATACAAACGAGTTCAATGTGACGAGCTACTGGAAGAGGAAGAAATAGAACCAATTATATGTCAAATTGACAATAAATTACTGATTAAAAATGCTGTAGAAAAAGCTGAATGGCTAATATTCAACAAAGAAGCACCGGAATTCTTACGAATAATGATGGGAAACAAGAGGAAAAGACCTAAACGTATCCCATGCATTTTAATAAAACGATTAAGTGGACTATTTGGAAAAAGAGACAATCAAATAGCGACACTAATGTTGGAAAAATGCCATGATTGGTCGTGGTGGGAACTGGACAAATGTTTCGCAGAGCTTAATGATCTGTTGAAGAGAATGAACTAAGTGAAATCTCAAATAAACCGCCAAATACTCTGGCGAAACGCCAGGGTCTACAGTGTTAAATCACTATAAATAGTCTAAATAACCAGAGAGAAAAGTTTAATCAGTTTTCAACTCTAATTAGTGAATTCTTATTTAATTAATGAAAAGTGATCAATTAAATAGTAAAAAAAGAAATACTAGTGAAATAATTAAAAATCGTTTCAGAAAATTCAGTTTTCTTTTTCATGTGAAAATATCTCATGTGGTATCAGTGCTTCTGGATTTTGATCTCAAAATTTGCCTTTAACTGAATTAACATTGGATTCAATTCATTAAGACTTGATCCCATTTCTGGCTGTTTAGGCTTAACCTCTTATCACCCTGTAGTTGATTGCTTTTTCTTTGGTAAATTTGTTAATTCTCATAGTTAAATGTGATCAATTTTGATTTTCGTTGTTAACATTAACTGCCATTCGTTGATTGATTAGTAAATTCAATCGACAAACCAGCTAACCACATGAATTGACCCCAAAAACCAAATGATTTCAAGAAAAATTTTCCCAATTTGTAACAATGTTTATCAACCATCACAGTTGATTACTCGTTGTTACTTTAATCAATTTAGTCGATTTATTTTATCATCAGCTAATTTCCAACAGTCTCAACGGTTGTTTAACACTCAATTAAGGCGAAACAATTACAACAGATTAGAGAGAGTTAAGTTATCTAGTGTTAACCAAGATGAAGATGAAGATGCTAATCAGTTTCTACCATTGGATGAATTGAAAAATGAACCATTTGAACAATTCCTAAAGGCTCAAGAAATGGTTAAAGATGAAAATGAATGGAATCAATTAATGACCATCATGAGGGAACCATTACCAACATCAATTCGTGTTAATAAAAATCCATTTAATCAACATCTCTTGGTAAAAGAATACATGGAAACCAAAGCATCATCGGAATGGTTTGTTGATACTTCCGGTTAGAAACAATGAATTCTAATTTTAGAATTTACAATTTTTCCATTTCTAACATAACAAACTTTCTCTTTTCTCTTCCAGGTAAACAGTATTTATCAAAATATCCCTGGTACCCGGAGGGTTTAGCTTATTACTTTGGCCGTGATGCTCCTCTTAATAAGTCAAGTTTCGGTTTTTTTGCCAAAAGTGGAAAATTTTCCGGATCAGTTTATTTCCAAGAAGCTGTTTCAATGATTCCAATATTGTCTCTTGATATTAAACCGAATCACTCAATTCTTGATATGTGTGCCTCACCTGGTTCCAAGACAACCCAAGCATTACAACAATTAAACTCATTTTCACCTTTAACCAACATAACGGGCTGTTTGATTGCGAACGATATTGAAACAACCAGAGTTGCCAAGTTAATTGTCCATGCGAAACATTTATGTTATCCCCAGTTAATTATTACCAAAGGAAATGCTTCCAATTTTCCTCCACTTCAAGATGACAATTTACCAACATTTTACCATAAATTTGATCGGATTCTTTGTGATGTTTCTTGTACCGGCGATGGAACCGTTAGGAAAAATCATGGAGTCTGGAAAATTTGGGATCCAATTTTTTTCCACCGTTTCCATTTTAACCAATTAAAGATAATCAAACGAGCTGTAACCCTCCTTGCAAAGGATGGATTAATTGTCTATTCAACTTGTAGCCTTAATCCAGTTGAAAATGAAGCAGTTATCGCTTCCCTGATCAATCAATCAAATGGATCCCTGGAATTAGTTGATTGCCACCAAATGTTTCCTTCGTTAAATTGTATTCATGGTCTTTCAAGGTGGAAAATAATGCAACCCGATGGATCGATAATATCTGATTATTCAGAGAAAAATGATGAAAAAGTATTGGAATCCATGTTTCCCCCTGAGAATATTGATTCCATTGGTATTGATCGATGTCTCAGAATTTTACCTCATCATTTTAATAATGGTGGATTTTTTATCGCTTTAATTAGGAAAAATGATCAAGTTCCATGGGAATCAAGTTTACCTTATCATAGACAGAAAGTTGATGAATCAATTAAACTGAAATTCTTAAATTCTTATGATCCAGATTGGTTGGAAATTAAGGAAACATTTAAATTACCTGATGATTTTCCTTGTGAACAATTAGTTTCATCGTCCGAGATTAACAAAAGGATACATTTTGTCACGAAAGATGCCAAAAGGATAATTATCGACAATTCTGATAAACTAAATGTAAGAATAATTTAATTTTCCAATTTCGAACTTGTCATTTTTTTAAACTTACATATTCTTTTAATCAACAGATTATCCATGTTGGTGTTGGAGTTTTCGAACGAGTCAATTTGCAAAAACAGTCACAATTTAGATTAATGTCCGAAGGATTTCCCATAATTTTACCTCATCTTCCCGATGATTTGATTATAACCGTTGATTTGGAAAGATTTCATCAATTAGTACTCCAAGGAAGTGAAATTAATTGTGCCAAGGAAAAGGAAATGATCAATTTGGATAATGGTTCTTATGTTATACAATGTAAATTAATTAAGAATCAGAATGGATCCGATGAAACAATTACACTGGCAGTTCCGATTCTTAAATTACATGGACGAGTAATTAGATTCATTTCTCATGCTGTTAAAGTAAATTATTTACGATTATTAGGATTTCTTACTCAGAATAATTCTGATGAATCATCTACTTGATTGAGTGAACATTATTGTTGATTATTAGCAATACTTTACACAAGTTAATTTATCAAAAGAAAGTAAAAATTATCCAATTAAACTGGAAAATTTTCTTTTGATTATGTTGACAGTTTTTTAAAGATTTCTAATGATACAGATAATGAATGAATCCTTCAAAATATATTGTTAAAGTTGATTAACTTTGATATTATGTGTGTGTGTGCTATAGTTGATATATTGGTCCAATTGTTTAAATTAATTTGGCAAGAAAAACATAAATGATAAGTATTATGCTGAATTAGACACGATTAATATGTATACGAAAAAAAATAATAACATTGATTGAGGCACTTGATTGCTGGTGATGCGATAAATGAGATAACATTTGTTTTTGTTTATCCCCAAACGAATCATTTTGTATCAATTAAATTGTCTATTTTTTATCTTGTTTCCCTTGAGCGACTATTTTACACCGAACTGTTGAAGCTTCCACCGCATCCATTAATATACCACTGAATCCGGCTTTGTCCAAAGAGTGTATTCCATAAATAGTTGTTCCTCCGGGTGAGCAAACATTATCACGTAAAACATATGGATGAGTCTCTGTCTCTTGAACTGTTTTACCAGCTCCCTTGATGCGAAGAAGAGATGAAGATGCAGAAAATAGAATAGAAAATGAATTTACAAGTTAAATAGAAATATCGAAATGTATACACATTGGAATAAAAGAACAATAAAATGGGAAAATCTGTCAAAGTTCATTGAAGATAATGGGTGGGAGAAAATCGTCTCTTACAATGACAGTTGCAGCAGCAATTCGAGTTGCCAGGGTTCGATCTAATCCCATTTTAACTGCACCATCACTTAATGCTTGTATTGCTGTGTAAATCTAATTTAGATTAAGATGGAGAGAGAGAGAAAGAGAGGAAAAGTCGTTAAGCCAAAGAGGGAAAGTGATATTTAACTGGAAGACATTTTAGAGAGAGAGAGAGGAAACAGAAGGACCAATTTGTCTATGTTGATATACATATAATCTTACAAATGCTATTCCACTTCCGCTGAGTCCTGAGATGATATCAATTAGCTTCTCTTCAACTACTGGGAAGAAGGAGACTGTTGATGCAATATTTTGAAGCTTCTCGAAACCTGAATAGTTGTTTCTCACTGAACAAGCCCAAACTCCGGCACCAACTTGAACACCAGTGTTTGGAATTGTTCGGACAATGTTTAATCCTTTTCCAAGAACATCTTCCAAACTTTCTATGGTTAATCCAGCCATTACGGATACTATGTGTCCATCGAAACAGCTGAGAAGTGCACGAAAGGTTGACCGATTCTCGGTAAATTGTATTGGTTTAACGCATAAAAATATTGCACCATCGGTACCAGAGCCTTTGACTTCTTTAACCAGATCAGCGTTTTTAGTTGTCACCTGACACCCGAGTTTACTGAATTTCTCTCCACTGGCTGTAGTTCGAGTGCTGATGATGATGGTTGAAGGTTCAACTTTTCCTGAAATAGAAAAAATTATCAAATTTTTATTCGATTCAAGAAATTGATTCGATGTTAGATTGAGATGAAGAATAATTAACAAACCATATTTAATGAGACCAACGACTATAGCATAGGCCATGTTTCCACCTCCAATGAAGCCCATTTTGGATACTCTTCGAGCGGTTGATTTATCGGATGGTGATTTGTCCATGATGAATATTGATTATTTCAATAAAGAAACAAAAAAGAAACTGGAAAAGAAAACAATCACTAAATTGTTTTAAATTTGATCTTCAAGATAATCAACTTGGTTAGAAAATGGATAAAATGTTGACACATCTAAAGAGGGCAAAAGAACCAAATCAAGACCCTTAAGTTGTGACACTTTCCGTTAAATCACAATTTCCACACCACTTAAACCAATTAAAGAAATTAGAAGTACGATAATCAATCACTAAATCACAGATAAAGGGCAAATTAACATGGGACAGAGAGAGAGAAAGATAAAGATAAAGAGTGAGAGAGAGCAAAGACAGAGAGACTCATCTCAATCATTCCAATATAAACAGGTTAAAGTGGATATAATTAATAAAATGATCGGAAGCTAAATAATTTCCAATCAACAGAATCAATGGAAAAGAAAAAGGCACAATTTAACTAACAATTTATGAAGAGAAAATGAATTTTTCGAGAAAACTAACCGGTTACCAGAAAGAGAAAGATGTAAACATAGACAGAGAAAAAGAAACTTACCTGGAAGAAGAAAAAAAAATTAAGATGAGAAAAAATTTTGCAATGATGATCAGTATAAAGAATACAAGTGATTGTTGATGACAATTGAAGAGAAATGAAGAGAAAACACCGAAGAATAAAAATATAAACAGAAAATAAAAAGATACGAAAGTGAGTTTGATCGAGAGAGAAAAGAAAGTGAACCGAAAGAGAAAAGAGAAAAGAGAAAAATAAGAGAAAAGAGAGAGAAAAAAAAGAGAGAAGAAAAAAAAAATTCTATTCTAAAAAGAGAATAAAATGAGACCAGTTATCCAGCTGATTCTCTTGGTTTTTATTCTTTTCTTTTATTACTTCAGTGAAATTCATTTAATGGCTGGTGTTGATTCTTTTGATTTACTCTTTAATCAATCATCTAAATCTTTTTACGGTTATCGAGATACTCTCCTAATTCTTGGAATCTACTATGCGACAAGAAAAAGTATCTCTCTCATTGGCGATCTCACAATTGGGGTGAAAACATACCTATGGCCTAGAGTATCACCAACGGATCTTTCATCTTATGGTAAATGGGCAGGTAAGTTAATCACTTTTCCATCATCACAAATCATGTTAATCACATAAAATGTGATTGTCCCTTTTCCCAATATATAATCACTCTAATTGATCTTAATCCACCCTCAATCTATTTCTGGTTTCAATTGTTTTCTGTTTTCCTTTCCTTTTTAGTACCTTGGGTTTTTATTTTCTCTTCTTCTATTTGTGTTCTTCTTTTTAACCTTTTTTTTTATTATCATTTAGTAATTAAAAATTCTACAAACATGATGATGATGATTATCTATTTTACTTTGATAATTATCTCATTTTATTCTATTAATCTGTCTTCACTTCTCCCTTCTTTTTTTTGTTTTAGTGATTACTGGTGGTAGTGAAGGGATTGGCCGTGGTTATGCTTTCGCTTTGGCTGAAAGAGGCTTGAATATTGTTCTGATTGCTCGTGATATGATGAAATTACAATCCACTGGAGATGAGATTAGTAAGTATCTTGTTAACCAATTGACCAGTAATCAGTCACTGATTATCAGTGTTAAACCATCTAACTCATCTGATTGATGATGATTATTATGGGTTGAGTTTTATATGTTATTACTATGGAAATAGATTCTAATTGATAATCAAGGAAAGGTGGTGATGGGCCATCATGAGGCATTTATTTTTGGATACCAATTAAGGATTATATTTGGCTGGGCTATTATTTTCTTCAAATGTTAATTAATTACCTTATTACTTGATCTTCTTTAATATTTTTCCATCATCATCATCATCTTATCAAGATGAATTTAAACCTGATCACTTAAAAATACCGCGTTCAACGCGGCGCGTAAACTAATTTACTAATTTACTTCTAATTTTTTCTCTCTCTCTCTCTCACTCTAATTTACCTTGGTTCCTTTATCATCCATCATTTCTGGTTATTTGTTCGTTTAGGAGATCGTTTTGATGTTGAAGTGGAACAAATCTCAGCTGATTTCAATGAAGGTCCATCAATTTATCGGTTAATTGAACAAAAGCTTAGAGGCAAAGAAATTGGTATTCTGATTAACAATGTTGGTGTTATGCCATCAAGACCTTCACCATTTTTGTCTAATGATTCTGATTATTTGCAAAGGCTTCTCAATGTTAACATGGCCTCCGTTTTATTTATGACACAACTTGTACTAAGAGATATGGTTTCCAGGGAGAAAGGAATCATTGTAAATATTTCATCGATCGCAGCTTACCATCCATTGCCTTTAATGTCAGCTTATTCAGCCTCCAAGGCTTTTATCGACTATTTTTCCCGTTCACTTAACTACGAGTATAAAGATAAAGGGATCATTGTTCAATCAGTTATGCCTGGTTATTGTTGTCCATCTCAAGAAAATGATTTCAATAACATTCTGACCACACCTAGTTTACTATTTCCTTCAACATCAACTTTCGCTGAATCAGCTGTTCAAACCATTGGTAAAAGCTCACGGACACCAGGATATTGGCCTCATGGTCTTTTAACTTGGTGCATATCAAAAATACCCCAATCAGTTTGGTTTCCTCTTGTTTCCATGATTCAAGAACAGTTGACCAGTTAAACTGACCTTCAATGGTCACTAATTTCATTTGCATTCCCAGATGAAAACAAGAAAAAAAAAGAAAACAATATGAAAGAAATCAAATCGAACCAAAAAAAAGGAAAAGGAAACGATGCCATTGCCTAAATTATTGTGTAAATGAAGCGCTGATAAACAGTCAACAATAGAATTTTTGAATTCAAGTTACATCAGAAATTAATGACTGTAATATGTGTACAATTAACAATTACGATAATTGTACTTTATATATTCCATTAGCGCTGTTATAATTGTCTTTCTGATCTCACCTCTTTTCCCTCGATTTAACTTTTAAAATTAAATTCACTTTGTTTTCTTTCTGATCCTATCCTAAATCAATAACCTTAATTGCTCCCTAATACTAGATAATTACCTTTGTATTTATCATTTTGTTATTGATTGGATAAATTGAAAATTGTAAATCATTTCTATTTCAGATCTAAAAACTATCTTGGGATTTCAACCAAACAAGCAAAAGGATCATTGGAATAACCTGTAAACGATGAATTAATCAGCGACCCAACCCTAAAGCCTGATGATTAAAGTGAATCTCCAATTCACTTTTCTTTAATGGTTCCAGGAAAATGTATCATTTTACCAGAAGAGAAAAGAAACAAATTGATCATGTTTATCATGGATTCTCTGATCATCTTATATGAACTTCTATTCAGAGAGAATCTTTTTCTCTTCCAATGACAATGGAATCAAATTGATTGGAGTTAAGGAAAGAAAAAAATCGAATCCTTCAAATCTTTTATTCTTCTTCAAACTGGACAAGTGATGATGGACAATTTGATTAACCCGATAGATGATTAAAGAAATGGTCTCAATGAGAATCCATCCTAAGAGTTAACTATTAACCAGAAAAATTAACTTGATTAACAAAATATCACGATCAATGGAGACGTGAGATTTTGAGTCATCAAATCTAATCATCAATTGGAAATGATTTAAAATTATCCAATTCTAAGGTTCTAATATGAGATGGAAAAACGATCATCTTAATTGTTGAGGAACAATCGATTTAATCAAATGATGGATTGTCACAATTACGAACATTGAATTAGTGACACTCTTATTAATCCAACAATAGTGAAACAATTTAAATTGTGAGATCTAATTACGGATTGAACTAGAAAATGGGAAAATCAAGATAAATTGTTGTGATTTTCATGATGAAGTAATTTAAACAAATTCAATTATAAACTAATCAATCAAAAGATTATCCAACTCTTGGTAACATGTAAAAATCATAAGCTGATAATGAAGCGGAAAGCCAATGATTAAATTTAATCACTTGAGATGTCAATCAAATCTGTTAATTATACAGATATTGGGACACACTGTTGCAAACACCCTGAGGGTACAAAAATTAGTAGACAAAATTAAATTGCTACTTCAATTTAGATTGTCCAATTGCGATGATTATCAATCTGTCTAAATTGAATAATGTCTATTAATTAATGTTAATCAAACAATCAGTTAATTTTTTTTCTCTCTCTCTCCAACAAAAAATCAACCAATAGATTAGGATAATAACCATTGATCATAATGTTTAGTTAAATTTGTGACTATTGATTTTTTCTTAATTGTTGTTAACCATTAACGATTTAATTTAACAACATGAAAACATCCGTTTCTTAAATTTGAAAGGTAAATTATCAACAACAAAATGATTAACTGATTATGTTGTGAGATTAAATTGTCTTTTAATTAGTTTGATGGATTAACCGAGAAAATGATTAATTAGTGAGAAATTAACGTTAATTATCACTGTTATCAAAGTCTCTCTCTCTCTCTCTCTCTCTCTCTCTCTCTCTCTCTCTAATTGTTACTCTTGATTGTTTCAATTGGAAAACAGATTAAGATTAATTTTTTTCCAACAATTAATTATCAATTAGCCGGAAGGTTGTTAATTCATTTCAACGACTCAACCGGATCACCGTTAATTTCAATCTTAATTGTTTACAATTAAATTTAATTAAATGAGTAAGACGATATGTTTTCTGAATATAATGATTAACCTGGATGAATAAATCAACAATTAAATCATCTTTAGTTAATCACCTGAGAAAAACTTGATTAGTGGTTAATCATATCCATGGATCATTAATTAAAACAATTAACAAGAACACATAATATACTTACAATTAATCACCAATAATCGTGATGTGTGTTCAACAATAATACACCAATAGATTTCAATTAACTTTAATCACTAATATTAAATTTCCTTATTGAAATTAATCAAATTAATTGATCACTCAAATTAGATTAACAATTAGCAACAATTGAAACTTTAATCTGTGATTAACCAAAAACAATAAAATCAATCCAATAATTGTAGTTCCACAATTCACTCTAAACATTTAATTACGCTAATCAAGGGCTTAATCAATCTGATTCATCATTGATCTTAATTGTAATTAACTTCAAATTTATTGAAAAATTTTTTTCACTTTGATCATTTTAGTTGCAACTCAATCCAATAGATGGCAGCACATGTCACAAAATAAAAAGTTTTCAAAATATTTTCAAAGTTGAAATTAATTTTTCAATTGTAGCGAAAATTAAATTAAATTAAATTTATTATCAATGTAAAACAATTAATCATAAAGATCCCACCAATGCTACAGTAAAGTTTGAATAATAATCTATCGATAAGTCTGAATCGGTTAACCTTGAAACTGAAAAAAGTAGATCAATTTACTAACCAAATGAGTTGATTACAAAAAGTAAAGTTAATTGTTGACCTTTCGTTGGATTTTCAATTGATATAAAAGGCCCGAAAGAAAAGCAATTAAATATCAAATTTCGGATTTCAAATATTCAATAATCAGATGCAACAATTTGTATATTAACCAACCCAAAATCCAACCAAAGGTCACTGAAAAGGTTAATGAAAATCAAACATTGACAAACAATCAACATTTGATTGATGCCAAAAAAAAGACGAAATCTAGTAAACAATTGAAGGATAATGAATGAGAAAAGCAATGAGAAAGGTAAACTTTAATGAAAAGGTGAAAACAACAACAATCAAATTAAACCAATTCTCAAACAATCAAGAAAAAAGTAGAAAATAAATCACAGGAAAGAATAGTGAAAATCTAATATAACAACTGATTAGAACCAATTACAAGTTAAATTACTTAGTTAATAGTATGAATTGTAAGCCCCCCTTTCGATGATCAATTTAATTGGTAGTAAATTGTTGTTTTCCTTCAACAATCAAAAGTAAATTACCAAAGTGAAAGAATTGAGATAAACATTGTAACAATCAAGAATAAGATAATAATCATGAGGATATTTTCATTGAATTTCTTGAGAGCGAAAAAAAAGAAAAGGATAAAAGATGAAGAGATGATCAACTTGAAGTAGAAAATGATGATCGGCTCATCATCCACCCCATTCTTTATCCTTCTATCTTCCTCTCTCTCTCTCTCTCATCTCATCTTCTCACTGCGGCTCTTCAGTGTATCCAAAAAATATTATCATTCCAAAGGAGGATCCATGTAAATGTTATCATCGAACTTTCAACCAATAGAAATCGGTTATTCTTTTGAAAGTTTCCTCCCACATTTTCGAAATGCAACCAATCAAAAGCTTCCATTTTGAATTAACTTTCATTCCTCTCACTCCCAAATTGTGATGATGATGAAGAGAAAATTTTTATCATCATATTATCATTATATTATTTACATTACTACGGTTCTTGATTGTTGTTGTTACAAATTTTTCCTTCAAAACAGTCAACAATCAATACGATTTTTCAACTAAATCAGTTGATAATCATCATCATCATTTTTACTCCTTTAATTGATTATCTTAATTAATTAACACAACAAAAAAAAATTTTCTCTAATTAATTGATGATCATTATTGATTAGTCATAATTGTGTATTCAAATTTCCTGATAAATTGTTTCTCAATTGATTTGATTAACTTTGGAAACTTTTTTCTCTCTTTTTTTTCAATTATGATTAATTGATTGTTTCCTAATCATCATTGAATCATCATCCTCATCCTCATCCTCATCATCATCACCATCATTATCCTATTGATTAACTAAATTGTGATTATTAATTTTTGGATTACTCTTTGTGATTTAACTAACAAGTTGATTGGACAATTTAATGTCTCTATCAAAGTGATTAAAACTTGATTAACATTTGGATTTAAATTGTTTTGCGTGTTTCTCTTTGTGTGTTAATCAGTTGAGAAGCAAATAAATAAATTGGAAAATTAACTTAATTGTGATCAATTGATATTCATTGTCTAATCACAAACAATCTTAAATCATGTCAGCCACTAATCCATTGAGTATTTGGCCATTTTTAACAGGTTATCCTTTTCAAGGTAAGTTAACAATTAACCGAATAACAATCAAACCAAATCAATCCTCATCCCCTAATTAACAAGCAAACAATTAGACTGGAAAACTTTGCAATTAACTTTGTTCATCCAAATAATTTTGTTACCTTGTCAAAATCAATTGATTGAAAGGTAACAAAATCATCAAAGTCAATGGTTAAAATGAAAACACAACAAAAACAAGAAAAATATTCAAAACTTATAACATATATGAAAATATATCATAGGTGTGTCTTATTATTATTACCTTAGCATCCTCATCATTTTACTTGACTTGAATGTCAAACACTTTAGGGTAGCTCATCATCATCTTCATTATCATTATCATCTTCATCCTCATCCTCATAATTGCAATAGAAATAAAAAATATCAATAAGTTAATCAAGAGCAAGAAACTTCATCATCTACAGTTAGTGAACCAGTGAAGATGAAGAAGAGCCAAAAACAAAATATCTGAACCTAAAAAAAGATCAACAAAAAAAACTACAAAATAGCAACATCATATTCACACCCTGAGGCAATGTCTTTGAAAAGTTACATACATTTACCTTGTTTGTTTGCTACTCACCTTTGAAAATGCAAAAAAAAAGAGAGAGAGACTAACACACTAATGTAATATAATCAATAAATGATAATCTAAATAGATGAAGATGCAAATTGTTATCATCATCATTGATCAGTCTATTAGATGGTTGATCATTTGATTGAGTTGATTTTTGGTGTATTGAGATTGTTTGTTGTTTACAATCAACTAATTGTTGTTTGTTTGTTTGTTTGTTTGTTTTCTTTGACGTTTTCTGTTGTTAGGTTTGAAAGCTTTGGGCTATTCACCAACGGCAGCATCTCAAGCGGCCGCTGCCGCTGCCGCTGCTGCCGCTGGAAATGTGCACCCGCTGTCGCGAGCTGGTTTCCTGAGTGGATGTCGATGTGCTGAGTTTCCAGGAGATTGTGCTTATCATCCAATGTTAATTAAAGATCGGACATCATCATCCTCATCATCATCAGGAAATAACACCAATACCACCTCCAACAGCACCAATAACACCAACAATCCCACCGATAACCGTAACAACACCTCCAACAGCGGCAACACCAATAATAATAATAGTAATCCAAATAATAGTACCAATAGTAGCAATAATAATAGTAATAGTAATAACAGTTCAAATAGTAATAGTGTTAACAATGGTTCTAGTGGGAACAATCAACATCATCACCAACAATCACTTCATCATTCAGTTCATCATCAAATTCACCAGCAGCAATTACATGCAATTAATAGTCGACTTCACGGTTCCAACTCTGGTTCCAATTTGATTTCCAATCATCATCAAAATCAACACCATCATCATCAACAGCAACAACAACAACAACAACAACAACACCATCTTAATCAACAGCATCATCTTAATCATCTTAATCATCATTTATCACCAGTCGGTTTAACCGGAACCATTAACTCTGGACCATTGAATATAATTCAACATCATCTTAACGGTAATTCTGACCTTTCCAATCAGAGTAATCGATCTGTTTCATCAGCTGATTCAGTTCAAATGTCTCGATGCTTGGTTGGTCCTGGTGAAGATGATGATCTTGATAATGATCTTGATGATTCTGATGATGATGGACATGGTGATCATTCACCAGACGGAAGTTCTAAACGACGTCGAACCCGAACCAACTTTAATTCCTGGCAATTGGAACAATTGGAAAAAGCATTTGAAGCCTCACATTATCCCGATGTTTTCATGAGGGAATCACTTGCATCTAAACTTGATCTCGCCGAGGCTCGAGTTCAGGTAAGAGTAAAGAACTTTTTTTTTATTAATTTCTATCTATTCTTTCAATTTGCAATTCGAAAGCAAAAAAAAAACAAGATAATGTTTCCTATTCAATGATAATATCGTTCTGATTACATGATTAACTCAATACTCTGAATAATTTTCAATGGTTGAAACTTTTTCCAACCAACAAATGATTAGTTATTAACCTCGAACGATAATATTTTCATTACATGTATCATGTTAATCAAATTTAAATTGGTAATTGATGATGAGAGGATTAATAGAGAGAGAAGATGATAATGAAGATGAGTGAGAAAAGGGAGGTTATCTTATTTCTCTCTCTCTCTCCTTAATCATCTCAAATCATTATCACTATTATCAACTAATCATCTTAGGAATCAAGATGAAAAAAGTTATTCGTTTGACATTAGATCGATGATCTTAATTGTGATCATTTAACTTGCCAGAATAATGATTGATGATTACCATCATCATCATCATCATCATCATCAACAATTTAACAATATCCCCTTAGTGTAATTTAAAAAAAAACTTTGATTGTTGTTGATAATCAAAGTTAATTGTATCTCTGATTGTTTCTAACTTTTTTTTTCTCGTTGTGATTATATTTAATTCAATTGTAAAAATCATTGATTCTCATTGATTTAAGGTGATTTAACAATCAGCATGATGATCAACTGACATGAATATATGTTAATTGTGATTCAATTGATTGATTGTTTGTTAAAAATGATGGGAATCATAATTGTGATTAGTAAATCATCATGATCGTTAATACAATTAACATCTTAATCTTTTGAAAATTTTATTATTGTTATGAAACCTTTTTTTTTTGATTGATTAACCAAATAGCAATTGTATTAATTAGTCTAAGTTAATTAACTATCATGATTAGTTACAATTATCATATGATAATTATCTATTGTATTATTATTATTATTTGATTTGACAAGACAATTTAATTTTAATTGTTGATCATTAAATGATTTAGCTAATGAAATGATATGAGATTTGAAATGATGATGAAAGTAAATCAAATTGTGATTGATGATTATAATAAATGAATTAACTGGCTTGACATTAATTGTATGATCAAAAACGGAAACATGGTTAATTCATTGTTAATCAACAATGAAATAACAATTAGCAATTAACCTGAACAATTAACAAGTTACAATAAACAACAACAGTAATAATAATTAGTTTGCAATAACAAAAAAAAATGGAAACTTTTTTCAAGGTAAATTAATCAATTCAGTTAAATATCAAATACATTTAATCAACAATCAAATTTATAATAGTTTAATTTAATAATAATGATCAATTATTAATGGTTAAATCAACTAATCAACTAACTCAGTTAACTGTAAACTAAATTGTAACTAATAAATCACAATGTGCAATCACAATTTAACAAGCAAACCTAAATTGTAAATGGTTTTTAATTTGCTTTTTTTTTAATTGTTGAAGATTTTATTTAATATTTCCTCTTTTACAATTCATTGCTGACAGCAATTAACAGCCAACAATTTATAATCAACAATTATGATAATCATTAAATTATTCATCATCATCATACATTTATGGCTCAATGATTAACAGACAAACCAAAACTAAATTACAATTAAATTAAATTGTTACTTTTTAACTTGCATCTTTGTATTAATAATAATATTCAAAGGTTAATTCATTTAATTCAATTGAATTAACTTTTTGCTTCTGTTAATTGGTGTAACAATTAACTAACAGAGTTTACAATTCTGATACCTGGTGATATTATAATAGCAACAATTAAATTAATATTTTATTATATTGATAATAATCATTAACCATAGACAATTTAATTTGGTTGTAACAGAAAACAACAAATTATTATTATTTAATTTTCTGATTCAAATGAATTACAATTAACCCGAGACAAGAAACAATCATCTAATCAAATCTAAATGGACAATCAATTGATCAATTGTAAAGTAATTTAAACAATTTCAACAATTAACAATCGGGTAACAATTTGATTATTAATTATTATCAATACAATCAAATGATTTATATTGATAATATCATTTAATTTCCCCATAAATGTCAGACAAGTTAAATTGTTGCTGTTAAATTAGTTAATTGTTGCTGTAATTATAATAATGGTATTGATTTGATTAGTTAATTATGTAAAGAAAAGTAAATTAAATTAAAAAAGTTTTCTCATTTTGTTTTGTTTTTTTTTCTGGTTTCAAGGTTGATTTTGATTTAATAGTTAACCAGAAATAACTAATTAGTTGTTAATTGCTAATTATTAAATTTAATTTGGTGTTGACAATGTTGTTAACCATTTTCATTTTAAATTGTCATGTTGTTGGGCTAATCATAATGATGATTATAATTAGTTAAATTTGATAATTGGTTTTCTGATTGTAATCAAATTTAATGAGATGATTCATTTTTTTTTATTTGATTAACATTAACTAAGACAAACATCAACTTAAATTATTATCATTTAGCCGGAGGGCAAATTTATTATAAAGTCGCTGATCTTGTTAATTGTTAATAACAATTTACCTTGATAATGTTTAACTGCTTTATTGATTGTTTCAAGTTAATTGTTGATTCTTGAATTTTCATTAACTGGTTTGCCCAATTTTTTTTTGTTGATAATTAATTTAAATTTAATTGTCTTGCAGGAAAATCAATTGAGATTTAACTTGAACAATTATAAGATTGATTCAACAACCAAATCATCATCAATAATCAACTTAATTGTTAGCAAATACTCACCTTTGTACATGATTAATTAGTAGCAATTAACTTTTCAATAACAATGATGAATTGAAAGTACGGATTAAGATTAAGAAATTAACAAAAATCGTTTGCATTGATTTAGAATCACAATTGAAATATTTTCTCTCTTCTACAAAGTCAATTAATTATCTACAATTAAATGAAAAATTCAATAAGATGATGTTGTTGATGACAACTAATCAACAGAATAACAATTTAGACAAAACAATTAGTAGTAAACTCGTTGTATTATTATCACCATTGTTTTCCAATGTCCATGCAAAGGAATTGAACATTTGATGAGAAAAGAAAAAAAGAAAGAGAAAAAGAAAGTGAATGATGATGAGGATGAAGATAAAGATGAGAAATAGCTTGCGGGTGAGTTAAAGATGATAATGTCTGGAACCATTTTGCTAACAATTTAAACTAAATTGCTGATAATTGCTGCTTGTCAATATATTAATATACCAAAAGCAACAACAGAAACAACAACAACAACAATTTAAGTTTCAACAATCAAGCCACAATTAGCTTGTTACCAAGAATTGAATAAAAAAATTAGTAATATTTATATCCAATTATTAATGATAAACAATCAACAATGTGAAACCATGAAGAAAACAAAAACCTAACTAAATTAACTAACAACAATTAATTTTATATTAACCGTGAAGTTGTGTGTATATAATATAATATACATAGACAAATAATATATACTAATTTAAACGGAAATGATTAACTTATATATATAATACAAAATGATAGTTGGTAACAATTATCATCAACAATTAAACGTTTGTTAAATCCCTTTACCTTTAGGTAAATAATCATATAAACAATCAATTGATTATCCTTAATCATCATCAAAAGTTAAATTATCAACACGCAACTTAAATATAGTTGATAATATAGTTTGTTGATATTGTAATTGGTTTATAAACAATCAGTTTCATCGGGGACAATTAAACATGCGTATAAGGAAAAATGTTAATTGTTAAATTATACAATTAACCAGATAACCAGATTAACTGATCAGCTCAAGATGAAAATTAAACCAGAAAAGTTAACCAGTTAACCAGAAAACAAAAGAGTCACATTAACTTAAAGGTAGAAATCAATTGATTTTGTTTTCTGTCCGTTAACTTTTCCTGTTGTCATCTAATTGATGATGATGATGATGATGATGATAATTGTAATCATCATCTATTATTATTTTTAATTGAATTAATGACTTTCCTAACCTCACCCTTGGTGTGTCCAGTGTATTATTTTAAACTGACCATTAGCCTTTTGGTCAATCATTTATCATCAATCTCACCAGCACATTAATAGTATTAGATTCATTCAAGTGAATGAAGTTGAAACGGATAAATTGAATGAAGAAAAAAAAAATCTTCTAGACTCTTGACATGCTCACTTTTTTTATCATCCTCATCATCATTGGATAATAATGATGATTAGGAAGATAGAGAGAGAGAGAGATGATTTGTTTCTCTTCTTAATCTTCATCATCATCATCGTTATTATCATTGTTGTCCATTTAATAGCATCAATAAGATTAGAGATAAAGATTAATATTGTTATTCATCATTTTCCAATGGGCGTTTAGATTCATCCTCATCCTTTTTATCATCCTTATCATCCTCCCACTCATCATCATCATCAGTTACAGGTATGATGATGTAAATAATAGTTATCAATAGGAACAAAATTTTTTCTTAATCACCTTTAATCTGTCAATCAATATTGATTTACCTTATGATTATCATCTCATTTTATTCAATCATCAATTGAAACCAATATTTTACTCGTAAATTGTAACAATTTAGCTTAAATTGTTATCAACACATGATTATCATTGATACTCACTGTTGATCACAATTAGACAATGACAATTATTGTATATAGTAGATGATGATGGTTATTATTATCACTCTTACCCAGTAATCAGCTGATTGTTTAGATGATGATGATGATGATGATGATGATTAGTTTTGAAATTAATTTTCTAAACTTTTTTTTCCCCAATACAATCAGTTAATTCAGTTATATATCCTAGAGGTAATTTAATAATAATTGGTAACATAAATTTCATATTATTGATTAATTAAGCTAATGATGATTCCGATGATGATTTAAAATGATAACAATGATAATCATTTTAAATGATTATGATGAGTGATTAAGTTAATGATAATTGGTTAACTTTTTGTTTCTCT